ACCCGCAATCAGCACAACATACCACAAGTTAAATAAAAAACTACCAAACTCCGCCCAACTAATATTAATAAACATTACAGCCAAACTAATGGCCTAAATAAAAATATATCTCAAATCCTAACAGCTATCGCGGGTGATGGCGCCATGAGTTGCTATTATCCAAAACAGATGCAAATAAACATGTTTGTATGTCCTATGTATGTTTGTTTTAAAAACGTTGCAGCGGCGCTGGGAACTGCAGTCTTAGATCTGGGTATGTTTGGCATCTGCAACTCTCCATATATGTACACATTAACCCTATTTCGGACGGGGAGACCTTTCAGGATTTTCTTGTACAATTGCCAAACGCCGCGAGACATTCAGCTCATATTTGGTGACTTTTCCTAAATGCTCATTGCGCACATCTCAGCAAAAAAAAAAAAAAAATGCCGGGTCAGGTCAGGTCAGGTAACCAGAGCGGGTTTGTTGACCCCACCTCAGAAAAGTTTGCAAACACGTCAGAGCTTGAGTTTTTCACGAAGTTATTTCCTCTCATCAAGTCTTCAAAACAGTAGGTACCTGCAGTATGTGTCGTTTGTATATTTCAGAATTTTTGAGCTGTGACCTGAGGTTAGGTCAGAGTCGTGACCTTTACATTGCAAGCCTATGGAAAAGTATTGAAATGCGACCTGCACCTCGAGTAAACGAGTCAAAACCACCCAATTCTTTAAGAATTATGACAAATTATCTTATCTGTAATGATCCAGGTGCCATGACAGGGACACCGGAGAGGGTTATCTGAGCCGAGATCATGTGAGGTGATATCTACCATATATCAATGCTCACAATACTTACAATATTGACAATGCTTTTGCTTACAACACTTACAATACTTACGATGAGACCAGCAAGCACTCTGCCGTTACAGTTCTAACTTCTGTTTCGAAAAACGACGTTACACACATTCGCTGCCAGCATAACATGTATTGTTTGACAGTAACAAAATACAATTGACATCTGAACCCCAAACGGACCGCCATCCACTCAAATTTTATAACCCTGACCGGTCAGGGGGCGAATGGAGGTCATTTCCTGGGCATTACACTCAGCCCTTGCACAAAATATCTCACCTCACAGTGATCATTACAACAATAGCACCGATTTGATAGTGGATTTCAAAGTACTTGCATCAGCTCTTCCTGCTATTGCAGACGATCATCTCCTCAGGGTAATGTTGTTCGGGACATGAACGAAGATCGTTTTCGGAGTTTCATAAGTGCTACTGCAACAGCCTGGCACAAAACAGGACTTGTACGCTCTTCTCTGCACTTTGCCCTTCAGTATATCACAAAAGAATTGTTTAGAATCCATCTTACGCTTCTTTCACAGTCTCCCTTGCCACCGTAGGGCGTAGATAGATTGCTGTTGCTGGTAAGTTAAGGCACGGTATTAGAAATTAACTCGGTTCTCAACGCCTTAAGTTATTTTCATAAAAAAGAACAAATAAATGATCAATAAGATGACAGGAATGTAAACATTTTAATCGTAAAGTAGTCCAAATATTGGAATGAGCTTTTGCTTTTCAGCATCCTCCGATTCATCATCTTTATCATTTGAAAATTCGAGGTACATAAAATGTTTATCACGCGCTTATGTTAAGTGGGAATATAGTACACGGCAGACACATCAATTTTTGACACTGAACATTTCATCCGTAAATGTTTTAGCATAATTAAAGGTAAAAACAGTGCGAATGGCAGAGTGAAGCAAACAACATCTTTCACCCATTGATATAACATGTAATCGTGGTGCGCCAGATGCGCCATTATTTGTCAACCGCAGAAGGTGACATGTGACGTAACAGCATCAAGAGCATCTTTTTTCAAGAACTTTTCAAAACAAGTTTCCTATCTTTCTTCCCCCATTTCTCTCAGCTTATTGATTTTATGAGGCAATGGTATGCACCATAAATTCTGTAAAAATAGTTTGATCATTTTCATGCATTCTTAAAAAATCGAGTTCCCAACCCCATTTTATAAGTATTGATGTGAAATGAGAATGTTAAGGCACAAACATTTTTTGTTCAGTCTTTGGTACGCTTATTTCTGGGAATGACTCTGTTCTCAATAAAAGCATGGCTCTGCTCTGGTTTCAATGTGTTACCGGGGTATCCTCGATATTGCTGCTTGGAAGTTGACAGTTTTTCTTTCGTATGATCAAAAGCCAAACTAGCGTCCCTTCATGCATAGACGATAAGGAAAGTGTAGCTCGGAGCTTCCGCATTTTCGTCTGCCTGTTTCATTCCAGCATTGCTTGACATGCTGATTTCCCCACCGTATCCGCCTCGCCCTCCGAGCGGTAGTTCAGCGTTCGTCCGCTAGATGTCGGGCAGGTCTGCGCGCGGGAGCGGGCCGGGCGGCCGCTCTTGTTTCACGCATAATCGGCTCGGCCTGCGTCTCTGATTGGTCGCGATAGCGGTCTGCGTGCTGCCATTGGCTGGCGGAGCTCGGCGGTGATGTCACCGGGTCAGGCGGCGGTCGGCGCCGACCTCCGGGTCATCCGGCCGGAATGGCGGTGCGGTACCGAGGCTCCGGCGCAACGCCGCCGAGGGCGCTCCCACGCCGCCGGCCGGCACGGCTAATAAAATCGAATTAGACCCAGCTTATGATTGTCATTTGTGCGGCGGAACCGTCGCACCGCGGCGATGTCGGTGGAGGAGCAGCGGCGCAGCGGCCGGTGCGCCGTGGCCGGGGACAGGCGGGCGCGTGACGCAGCCTCAGCGGCTGGGGCGACCAGGGGCCGCGCAGACATGCCGTCTGTCTGCGCCGCGGACACTGTCCGCGGCGCAGACATGCCGTCTGCGGACACTGGCCGCGGTGCAGACATGCCGTCTGCGGACACTGTCCGACCAGACTGTTGGGCGGCCCGTGCAAGCCGAGGGGCGTCCCCTGTGGAGTTTTTGCGGCCGCGCCGCGCCGTCCGGCCGGTACGCCGAGTCATCGCTGATAATTTCTCTTCAGAGCTGTCAACAATACCCCGGTCGGTGCCTCATGACATTTGCATGTTCCCCTAATTGCCGGCGCCCTTTAACGAGATTACAATTTGGCCGTCCGGCATTGAGCGCCGGCGCGGTGTCGGACGCTGAGTGTCAGAGTGTCAGGTGTGTCAGTGAGTGTCGGGGAGTGTCGGTGTCGGCAGTGTGCGGCGGAATGCGCTGGTCACGGCGGCACGGGGCTGCCGACGTTCCCCCTCCTCCTGCTGAGACACTGTCTTACACCTGTTCCGTGCCGTGTGCAATCACGCACCGTGGACAGTGGAGCCCTGTTAGTCGGACTTCTAATGGTCTGTGGCATACGGTACACGGCTACACGCCTTGAACCTGAAGGTGTTGTACGCGGGCGCCGTCTTTTCAGACAGATTTTCAAATATTTTTGTATTGCAAGCGACATGGCAAACGGTATCATGCTGATCAATGATAAGCAGCATGCTGATCATTCGCCGATCATTTTCTATGATGCGATTCTAATTTCTGCCAGCTTCAGGTATGTTAGTTTTACTGACAATTGATGAAGGCTAATTTCGCCTGCCTTCGGAATTCCCTCGCTGGGGTAAAGAGGCCTCCCTAGAAGCGAAAACGCTCCAAATCCCGCCTTCCAAACCTTGGCAGAGATTAGATTTTGTTTATGGAGAGCGGTCGGATGTTTTCCGCGCGCGGCCGCCGCCCGCGCGGTATTTTCACAGCGCAGCTCGAATGTTTGCGATATTACGCGGCAGAATTTCGCCATTCTTTGGCCGGCGCGGTGTGACGAAGACGGCGCGGCTCGTGTCGAAGGTGGACGGCCACGTGTGGAGATATTGATTATCGGCGACCCGCCGGTGGCAGCGGCGAGCCAGTCGTTCGGCCGACTGAATGCGGCGGCTCGGCGCCGCCCGAATCGGGCGGTAATTAATAGACGGACAGCTGCGGTGGTGGGAGGTTCGCGGCGGCTCGGCGCACAAAGCAGCAGCGCCGTCGCCGCCATCGCCGCCGCCGTCGTATCGCTGTCGTCATCGCCACGGTCACCAACATCACATTCAGCGTCGCCGTCACCGTCACAGTTTTCACCGTCACCGTCACTGCCAGCACATCTATACTTGCCATCACCAAAGCTATCGCGACCACCCCGTCACCTTCATTGTCACCTTGCCTATGATCGCTTGTAATGTCGCCCGCTATAATTTATAGTCGCAACTCGCAACTCGCAGCGATGCCATCGCTACTGCTACACCACTGCGATCACTGCTACCTCTCTGCCACCTCCACCCCCACCAGTCCACAACCATCACCGAAACTGTAGCTGCCACCTTCACCATACTCAAATCGAACCGTCGTCGCCCCGGCCATCGTCGACCTCTCTCTGCCAATATGGCCGCCTGGGCGCTATAAACTTTTATGGGGTCCTGGCGTGGCTCTGTGCCGTCCTCCCATAGGCAGACGCCGTTTTATGCGCCGATTCAGGCCGGTTCGGGCGTTGGGCTCTAACCGGGCGGACAAATAGAGTGTCCCGGAGACCGACTGGGTGTCGGCCGACCGGTTCAGCCCGAGGGGGCGCTCCGGGGCTGGAAGGACAGCCCTCGTCCTGTGGCTGACGGGTTTATGATGGACGATTTTAAGCGTGTGCGGGCTTCATCAGCTGGTGCTAATCATTCATTTGTCGTTTTCTGGTTGCTAAGAACGCTTATTTAAGGAATTGAACGTGTAATGAAACGATGCCATCGTTTCTGAGTTGAACCCGGACAATTTCAGCTTACACCTTCACGCCGATGCGTAGTCATATAAGTAAGAATAAAGAAAGGAATTTGAAAGCAAAGAGTGGGGCTTTCTAGCTACTGATCTATGCTGAAGCTCTTTGTTATTAACTTAATGGGCAATTATACTGCTTCAGTGATATGTATGTAGTTGATCGTATGCTTGGTACCGCTTCTTCCGAACCGCCTGGTATCACCCAATGTAACACGTTCTCCCCCCGTCTCTCCCACAGCGCGTACGGCGAGGGCGTGTTCCTGATCCTGCAGACGGCGCTGATCGCTGCGCTGGTCCTGCTCTTCTCTGGTCAGCGGGTACTGACGTTCCTCTTCTGCGCGCTCTACCCGGCCGCGCTCTACTACCTGGTGGCCGGCTTCGCGCCCATGGACGTCCTATGGGCACTGCAGTCGGCCAACGTGCCCATCATCGTGGCCGCTAAGGTAGGGGAGAGCTCCGGAGGAGATGAGCTTCTGTAGGAATCGCTGGGGTTCCAGTGGGTCTGTGGAGCTTCAGCTAGGCAGCTGGGGCAGTGTTGAGGATGTGATCGGGACCAGTAGATCACGAATGCAACCAGCATGGTCTGTGTGGTTTGTTTGTCGCCTCGGGTTCCTTTTATATCTATTCTACACTCTCCAGTCCAGCCAGGCGATAGTTTGCATTGAGCTATCTCCTGGTTCTATATTACGTTCCTCTTCCCCATGGGGACCCCATACCATCCCGATCCGTGAGCTGACCGCACCGGTCGGTGGCTCGATCGTTAATTGTTCTCAGCTCCGGCGCCCGCCGGCCGCGGGTCCATGTGACGCTAATGGTATCTCGGCGCGCTCCCTCACGCCGACACGCACATTCCGCGTTTATTGGCGGAGCCCGCCGCCAGCTGCTCGTGCTCCGGGTCCCGCGGAGGCTCGCGGTGGCTCCCAGAGGCTCCTGGAGGTCCCGCGGAGGCTCCCGGAGGTCCCGTAGAGGCTCCCGAAGGCTCCCAGGGGCTCCGGGTGCTAGCTCCGGCTCGCGTTCGGCGTATCACAGCAGCTACCGACTTCATGATAGATGATGACGCGATGTGCGTGTTTTAACGTCAGCGGATGAACTGACGCCAGATGAACCACCGACGGATTTAGCCCGGTGACGTCACGAGATGGGGTCTCGTTAATGTCACCTCTCACAGTCTGCTGACGTCAGTGGTCTGCCTCTGACGTCATTGGGGACACTGGAGCGCGCTCGTTCGATGGTTATCAACCTGCACTAGCGAGGTGTCCCGCTGCCTCCGCCGACAGCCTGTCTGTCTGTGTGTGTGTGTGTATGTCGCCTCTGCACGGTGACAATTCCACCGGCGGCTATTCTCACGGTTAAGCCGGTCCTAATAGGTAGTTAAACCAGCGTGGCGCTGTCAGTGTCATTGCCACCTTCCCGACCACCTCTGTCGCTGCCAGCGCTGCTGTCACCGTGACCGCCCGTGGTTACCGGGCTCTAACCGTGGGCTCAGCTCAGCCCACCGGCGCTCAATACAGCCCTGCCGGTGTCTGAGAGCGCCTCAGGTCGGCAGCGATGACTGAGACGGCCGCGGACGGGCGCCGCAGCTCCTGAGCTGGCGTGACGGGCGCGGCCACGCTCCCGGCTCGCTCCCGGGCTAATGGGATCGACCGCGACGGCTGCACGATCTCAGGGTAGGCTGAGCTCCGGCCGTGAGTGGGTGAATCTGAGGCATTTGGGGAATGTGGATTCCAATACTGATGGATGGCGGTGGACGGTGATGGTGTGGTTTGGAGAATATAGGGAACGTTTTGTGTTCCATCTGACTCGAGCTGACAAGTTTAAGTGTCTGTAAGTTAAGTTATCATGGGCAATGAGCATCTTCACGTTGTATGATTGCATAGGCTCCCCATTTCTGCCCCCCTGTCCCCTCCCCATTGTTCCCCATCACCTTGTGCGCTGTCCCCGGCCTGTCCCTGTACCCCTACCCCGCCCCTGTCCCCTGTCCCGCCCCGCCAGTTCCGTTCAAACGCTGCCGTGCCGCTGTGTGCCGGAAATGATTGCCGCTTTCAATGGGGCACGCTCCACCTATCGGCACTGGCTGGGGCGCCGGGGACAAAACGCTCCACCGGCCGATCAAAGGCTTGTTACACATGGCGTGTCCGAGATGGGGTAATGACCGGGGCGGCCGGCGGGGAGAGGAGAGAGTGCAGCTGACCGCCCCGCCCCCCGGGCTGCCCCCCCCCCAACTCTCCCCCGGTACACCGCCCACCGTGACCCACCCACCGTGACCCGGCCGGCCGGCCGTGATAGTCGTGACACAGTTTGGGTGACGCTTCTGATCGGAACGAGGTTCGACTGAGAGCGGCCCATCCGGAAACGTAATTTGGCCTGGAAATAAATGTCGAGCTTGGCCGTAAGTCTTCTACTATATTATGGTAGAAGTTGGTCAGCTGCCAGCTTCACTCTGCTCTCGAAACGACACCTCGTTTGAGTTTCCAAAGAGGAAAGCTCCGAACTAACTGTTTTACAGCCACTGGTTTGAGTCACGCCGTTTATTGCCGTTGCACTATTTACACCCCGTGTCCGTTTGCGGTATTGTACCAGCACCATTACCCTCTGTCACCACCGGGCGTCACCACCACCGGTGGTGGTGGTGACGGCTGTTGCCGCGCCCGTTCGGCGCTCATTTGTCGCCGTTTGTCGGCGCTGTGCCGTCCCCTGCCGGCTGTCCGCTGTCGGCGCCGCCACACTCGGCCGTTTGTTAGCGTTAATAGTGCATGACATGTCGGTGCGCCCAGTACCGCCGGTGATGTATATTTGATAAGGCGGTTGGTCGAGCGGCGTGATACGCCGTTTCGGTGGCTCGATATGGCGTCAATGTGACCCATTAGTGACTCTCGTGCCGCGAACGCTGCGGTGTGCTGTGGTTAGGGTCCGGGGGGCAGAGGGGTCTGAAGGGCCGGAGGGCGAGAGAGGGCACTCTGCGCGCTAATGGCGAGGGAGAGGTACTTCAGCTCGGAGAATTGCCGCTGCTTCGCTGGAGAGCCGGTGGCGACACCGATTGGGATCTGCTAACCGGAAGAACAGGAGATAGGGGAGGGAGGGGTCGATATGCGGCCTCGTGACAGCGCTTTTGGAAGCGCAGTGGCATGGACTCTCACTGACATGGTTTTCGTACGATTGAAGCCCAAGTTTGATTTCGGACGAAGAAGCATATGCCTCTGAGACATGATCTGAGATATGCATGGTATCAATAAGGATAGGTGGAGCCGTTAAACATACTACTGGTACCAGACGAACCGCACCTGACCGCTGTTCAGTCGCGATGCTTTCTCCAGTTTTCCCTTGGGAGCACCTTGGCGCAGCAGCGCGCCTGACTCCCATATTATCCTTCCCAGTATAGTGATATCACAGCGGCCATTCAGACAGCGCAATCAGGCTCGCTCGGCCGGACTCGTCCCAGTAACGCAGTGTGCGTGGGAGTGCGTGCTGCGCCGCTCCTATGGGAGCCCACCGGAGCCGGAGCCGGAGGGACGGAGCCTGAGGGCCGGCAGGAGCCGGTGCCGGATGCCAGGCGTTCCGTCCGTCAACAGTCGTCGCTGTGACGGCCGGCGCTGATTTAATTAAACTCTGCTGCGCGGCCTCTGCGGTAGTCAGCGCGCGGCTAATGCCGGTTTTTACCGGAGCCGCCGGCTACCTGGCCGGTGCGGCGCCGCCTAATGATTTAATGCGGCGCACAATGGGCGGCCGTCATCACCCATACGGCAATTTGTCAATCACGGCGCTGTCGGCTGTCAGTCAGCGGCGGCGGCCGCCGGAACAGGCCGCTTCCGCCTCCCGCCGCCGCCGCCGCCGCCGCCGCCGCCGCTCCGTCTGTGAGGTTTGTGGGTCCGTGACGAATGGTAACGCAGCGACATGCGGAGAGCGACAAACGCCAAAATAGTGCCGGAGATCTGCTGCCGGCAGTCTTTTGCGCCCCGGGCAGCCGCGCCGATTGAACGACTCTGCTCAAAGCTGCGCACAGCGGGGGTCGACGCGGTGTGATGTGTTCAGTGCTGTCGAATGCCGTCTGCTGCGACTCTGCTGTCAGAATCACCGCCGCCGGCCGTGACGGTCTGTCGTCCGCGGCGCGTCTGTGTGACGGCTGTGACGTCTGTGACGTGTCTGATTGCGTGTGACGGACACCGCACTCTCCTCAGGGGGTGGGAGCACCGGCCGCGCGCGGACCGCGGAGATAACGGCTGACCGAGCGGACCGGACCGAACCGGTCAGCGATTCAACCTGATGGTGCGTGATGGTTCACTGTATTGCCTCTGTTATGTTGAACTGTCTTAGGAATAACAATGATCCACAACATTATCAGTCTTGTTCGTGCCTTTTACATCGTCTACAGTTTTTCTGTTTTTGGGTGTTAAATTCTTGCTAAAATAGCCTGCTGATGTGAACTCGGTGGGAGTTCTGACGTCTCATCGCTCACTGCCTGAGGCCAGTCGGCGTCTGCCGTTACCTGAGCACGCGGTGGGCGGTGACTCCGTGTCCCTCCCGCGTGCCTCAGGACGCGACGGAGCGTCTGAGCGTTACCGCGACCCTCCTGTGGCGCTGCCGTGCCTCTTCTCCTGCCACTGTTCTCCGAGATTACCTTGTCGGGAGTGCGCGGAAATGCGGTGGGCGGTGCCGCGCGCGTCTGAGCACCATCTTCCGCGCGGCAATCTCAGCCAGTCAGGATTACTGTGAACGGTCCCAGAACGGCGGCGGTGGGGGCGGCTGCGCGGCCGACAGTTTATTAATTACCTGGTCGGCGAGCGGCGGCGTGTCAGAGGCGGCCGAGCGTCATTACCGGGGTTCCGCCCCTCCTCTGGTGCGTCCGTCCCGCCGCGACCCTGCTGACCGCCGAGGCGGACCCAGGAACGAAGAAAAACACACCGATTCGGGCGCAGTGTGAAGTCTGGCGGTGGGCCTTTTAAAGTTTTCGTCTTGGGTGAGAAAGCTGGACAATGCAGGTGCTGATGATTTCATGAGATCTGTCAGTTTAGAGGATTTGACGGTTTGGTTTGTGAATGGATCGATTCCCGGAGTTGGTGTTTGAGCGCCGGCCGGCTAACCCGGTCCGCGCGGTGACCTGTGGGGCGGCCACCCGGGCGGCCGCCTAACCCGGTAGCGGCGCCCGCGGCGGCCGCCGGTCGGCGCCGCTTTCTGATGGTAAACACCCCCTGCCGGCGCGTCCGATTTGTCTCGGTATCGCCGCTGATCGCCGCCGCCTAATATCGGAAGCGGCGGCCGGCCTTTTACGGACGGCGCCGCGCCGCGCCTCTGATCGCCCCATCTCGGCCGTGCCGCTTTATGTATTGCGGTCCAGATGAGCGGCCGCCGCCGAGAGAGGCCATGGGAACTGCCGACGGCGCGCGGCGCATTCCTTCGCCGCCGGATAGCAGCCGGTTGGTTTTAGTAGCTCTCCGACTCAAAGGAG